TGATATTCTTGTTATCTTAATATTGTTCTAGTTCTATTGTATTTTATTATCAAAAAATGTTCTTTGATAATTTATTAGAGTTGAAAATAATTTAAAAACTCAACTTACCTCACTCTTAAAGGTGTGTTTAGAAATTCACATTTTTCTAACACAATAATATTTTAATATGCATTATAAAATTTTCTCCGTATGTAATAATTAATATATTATTATTAAATTATATAGTTTTTTTTCTCCTCAATTATTGCAATGAAGCAAATATCATTCTAAAATTTATTCACTATTTTTTAATTATCTGATTATATTTTTAATATTGACTTATTTGTAGGTAAATGTTTATTGGTTATATTTTTAAGAAAAAAAAACTCATTTACAATTGAAAAACTATGGCGGATTTAAATTATTTATATATTTATAATTTTTGGTTTTTAAGAAGTTTTATATTTTTTTCTCATATTTTCATATTTTTTTTATTATATGTTATTTTGGTCTATCCAAAATAATTTTCTTATATATTATATTCACCTTTATAATTAGGCAAGAACATGAATCTATATTAAATTTCTTTTTTGATTAATTCAAGAATAAACAAAATCTTAAATAATATTATATGAGCAAATTTAACGTTGAAACAAAATTTATAATTTTTCCTAGTCCAAATTCACATTTTTTATAACGATTGATGAAAAAAAAAAACATCGTCAAAATTTGATTTTTTATATCAAATTGTGAATCAATATATAAAGTTTAAAATTTTATATAATGTGTATCGATATTAAATTAAATAATGAATATAAAAAATCTTATTAAACCCACATCAAAACATATAGAGTCTCCTCTATTATATATATATATATATATATATATATATATATATATATATATATATATATATATATATATATATATATATATATTGGTCGTTATCCAAATTTGTTTCATTTTCTGGTCCCAAATTCATTAGAATAAGAAGAACCCAAACGTGTCCCGTACAAGGTGATATCACAAACCAATCAACTGTTAGGACCACTCTTGTTATAGTCAAATAAAATCTTTGTTTTTATTTCAAATATTTGAATTTTGATGCAATTAATTAATTTTATATCTTAACATCCAATATTTTCTTTTCATTCCATTGGCTCTTTCTTTGTTGGTGATATATGGGAAACCTAACAAAACCATAAATAATCTTTTTCTTCTGATGTTGGAAGGTCAATTTCATTGAACGTTGACCAATCACCAACCCAGAAGAATATAATATATATTCGTAAATAACACAACATTTATTTTCATATTTTAATTCAAAATAGTTTTTTTTTTAGAATTTTTTCTGGGTATAATAGTCAAATTTTTCATTTCTCTGTTCTTTTATTGTTTATTTTATTTTCTACCAGAATATTAAGATATATTGTCAACATATGAGTTGTCTAAATTATCTATATTTTTTAATTGCTTATTAAAATCATTTTTTTATAGATATATAATATTAATTTCATTATTATTAAAAAAAAAAAAGTACCGGTTTCAGTATTTTATTTTCAAATTTTAGACTTAAAATATACATTCTTTGTACGGATTCAATAGAGATTAAATCTCATAAGCAAGATCTTAAATAATTTTTTTTAATGAAAATAAATTATTGCCAAAGTTGATCAATATATTATTTATTATTATTATAATTAAGGGTATAATATAACTTGTAATTTCTAAGTCAATTCTATTTTTTACATGTTAAAGTTGAATTAGGTTATAATAATTTTAAAACAAATTCAATAATAGGTCAAAACGTGTTTATTTAACTCACCATCAACACATTTTAACGATGATGAGTTGATTTGTTAAATTTTTATTTTCAATCTTTAATACTCTATTTTATCTTATATAATATGAATCATTGAAAAAAAAATTAGAAAAATAATTTATTTAACAAACTTATTAGGTACATGAATAATTAATCTTAAATTTTTCTTTTTCTATAAAATGGCATAGAAAAATAAAAATAAAATCGTTTAAATCCAATTATTTTTGTCATCCTATTTCAAAAAATGACCTTTAATAAAATGTATTATGATTAGTAACTTTTTTTTTTCTTTTTAGGAGGCGAGAGCGTACAAATTTTAAACCATACAAATTTTAAATCAATTAAGAATAATCTATTCTAAGCATGATATATGTGAAAACCGCAAACATCAACTTATAATACCTTACTATATTTTATTAATATATGTGATTTAAGATTTCACTACACAATTTAATATAAACATTATTTTTTTTACTTTAAAAAACTTATTATTTTTCCAATAATATCTTTATTATTTTACTTCTTTTCTACAATAAATATAACAAATAAAATAATTATATAATCTTAAATTTTTTCACAAACAGATATTTACAAATAATTTAAAATATTGACCATTAAAAAGGAATAATTAACAAAAATATTAGAAAAAAATCAATAAAAAATATAAAAAGAATAATAATATTATTTTACATGTATAAAAATAATTTAAAATATAAGAAAAATCTTTCTCAATCTAAATAAAAATAATGCATAAGCTATGATTCATTTTGTTCTACATTTAATGTGTCAAATTTTTTGTTGGAGAAAATACGAGTTTTATTGAGTGTTTTCGTTATGTTAACGAGTTTTATGTGAATAATAATTTATATAATTTTTTTAATTCATTAATTCTTAAAAATAAAATTATAATAAATTAGAGTTTGAAAAATAAATAATATTTTAAATATGATATAGTTACAAAAGATAAATGAATTTATTTGTAATTATTGAAAATTTTAATTATTTTTTCTCTTAATTTGCTTCAAAATTATTTGTTTAACGTATTTATTATGTTTGTTTTTCAATTTTATTATATGTGTACGGACCATGGTTTTATCATAAAATAAATTTCTTTATATAAAAAACAAATATATTTCGTTATCTCATAATAAAATAAGCCATGACGTTACAGATTTATTGAATATTTAATTTTTTTTATGACGAATTATTATTATAAAGTATAATTAATGAATTAATGAGGACCATCTTAATTTGTAAAATTATTGAGTGGTCCAGGAATATTTATTTTGATTATGTACGAATATTCCATCCAAAAATAGTTAAAAATGTTACATCTTAAAGATCATTTTTATTTTTGTTTAAAAATATTATTAAATCAACAACCCCACGAATAGGTTCAATCACAAAATACAAAATTTCCTTCATCCTCTTTCTACCATGCCAACATTTTTGTCAATTTTTTTTTCTTATTTTATTGACACCTTGATATTAACATGTATTATAATTATTTTCATCACATTAAATAATATTTAAAAGTTATTACAACACTCTTATCTTATGGTTATTGTGAAAAATATGTTATGACGCCTCCATAACTATTAACTATTATGAACTTTTTATGTACTAAATCAATCTAATATAAACATTATTTTAGTTATATCATATGTTCATATAACAGTGTACCACTTTTAAGAATGAGATGTTATTATTAAAAAAATTCGTAAAATTTAATAATTTGTCTTTTCTAAAGAAGTTTGCACATCAAATATACTAAAATAAAATAAAGATAAAAATTATCTTAATTTTTTAATTTTATTATATATATAACCTACACAATTTTGTCAAAATAATTTATTCTTAATAGAAGGAAAAATCTAATGTAGACAAATATATTTTGTTATCTCGTACAATAAGCCATGACGTTACAATTTTATTTTTTTTAATTACGAATTATTGTCAAGTAAATAAAAAATAAATAAATGAATACCAATGTCTTAATTTGTAAGAGTATTTAGTGGTCCAGGAATATTATTGGCTTCCATCAAAATAATTTGAAGGTTACGTGTTATAAGGAGATTTTGTTTTTGTTGAAAAGCACAATGAATTAGGCAACACTCACAAAATACAAACTTCTCTTTATCCTCTTCCTACAATCTTCAAACATATGACCAATCCATGCAAAATATTATTATTTTTTAATCATCGAATAGCCGATTTAAAAACCTAAGTTAATTTAGACTATTAACTATTCAAATATTTAAGATTAGAGAATGAAATAAAAAAATTTAAATACTTAATAATAATTTTAATAAAATTAAAAAACGCACTACAGGCTTAATTATATAATTGATTCTGATATAAAAAATGTTATTATGATTCATGAAGAAGAAAAAACATGAGATAAAGTGAATTGAAAATGATAATTGATATCTCTGTTCACAATAAGGATATTGTTGTTGTGGATTCCAATGATTTATAATAATCTACACTCTTGTCCTATTGTTTGTATTTTTTTGCTCCATAATTTTTAGAATATTTTTAATATATGTAGATTTTGACCCTAATATTAAAATAATTACTATTATCATATTATCCATCCGTGACATGAAAATTTTGTCTCATAAAATTATTTTTTTCATCACAATATATTTACACATCCCAATTGATCGAGTCATATTATTATTAGATATTTTAATTCATTAAATTTTATTAGCAATTATCAATTTTAATAAAATCTTTTGAAAACATATAATATATATTTTAATTGCCTTTGAAAGAAAAAAACAGTGTTTATATTTTGTATAATTGATAAGATAACTAATTTTCATAATCCAAAAAATATATATTTACTTAGAATAGTAGTTGGATTAAATTATGTTTAGAAAATACATCCTTAATCTCTACTTAGCTAGGACTCAAGTTTCAATAATACTTTTCAATGTAAAACTTTGATGAACAAAAACACATCAAGTATAAAACAATATATAATTAAATTAAGTATAAAACTTACAAAAAGAAAAACTAAAATTAAATTGAACATTTTCCAAGTAAAACCATACTATTTTCTAGAATGAAAAAGAAAAAAAAAATTAAGTCCAAAAGAAGTTCTATATATAAATCAACGTGACTAGTGATAACTTGATTATATCTAACATCAATATCAGAAGCATTAGATTGGGGGTTTAGTGTCCAAAGGATCATGGGATCCCAAACACAGTCTCAACTACCAGTTGTAAACTTCATGAATGAAAATCTGAAACAAGGTGCACATACATGGGTTTCAACTTGTGAAGTAGTGCGTAGTGCACTTGAAGATCATGGTGGTTTCTTGGCACTCTACGATAAGATCAGTTTGGAGACATACGACTTGATTTACAATGAAATGAAGAGTTTTTTTGACCTCTCGGTTGAAACAAAACGTAGGAAAACCACTGAAAAACCTATATTCAGCTACTCCGGGCAACGACCTGGGATTCCTTTATATGAATCTACAGGTATCATCAATCCACTTAGCTTTGAGGATTGCCAAAAATACACACATGTTATGTGGCCAAAAGGAAATGATAGCTTCTGGTAACTATTTCCTTGTCAAATATATATGCTTTTGACCTTGGAAATATATGATGCTTTGTGCATATAAAACTTATACATATATATGTAACTGATAGGATTTTCTTTTTCTGTCTAGTGAAAGTGTCAATTCCTATGCAAAGCAACTAGCGGAACTGGATCATATTGTGAAGAAAATGTTGTTTGAGAGCTATGGATTGGAGAAGAAGAAGTTTGAGTGTTTAGTTGAATCAACTGAATACGTGCTTCGAGGCTACAAATACAGAAAACCCCAAGTGGGTGAAAGTAATATGGGAGTGCCTCCTCATTCTGACACGACTTTCCTAACTATACTGAATCAGAAGGTAGAAGGCTTGGCAGTGAAGTTGAAAGATGGGGAATGGATTGAGGTTGGTGCTTCACCTTCCTTGTATTTGGTAATGGGTGGCGATGCATTGATGGTGAGTCACTTTTTTTTTTCCATCTTTGATGATCAAACATAGCGTTAAAAGCATAGAAAGTTTAAGCATTATATACATCATACTCAAGAAAAAATAATATAAGAAGACTAAATATAAAGTCTAATACAAACACATAAAAGTTTGTATAGTTTATACTCTCTTTTCTTAAGAATGATTAAATTCTTAAGACGTTATGGCAGGTTTGGAGTAATGACAGAATAGCCGCTTGTGAACACAGAGTTTTCACAAACCCAAAGATAGAAAGATACTCGATGGGACTACTTTCATATGCTACTAAGATAATGGAACCACAAGAGGAGCTAGTTGATGCAGAACATCCTCTACGTTATAAGCCATTTGACCACTACGGATACCTTCGTTTCTTCCTCACTGAAGAAGCCATAAAATCTGATTCCCGGATAAAAGCATATTGTGGTATCTGAAACACATTGTGTGTGAATTCTGTCATGTTCAAAGGATGTAATTAAGAAGTTGAAAGTTGAGTTTAGTGATGCCTTGTGTGATGCTATGTGATGTGTTGCTTCTGTTGTGGATGAATGTTCAAAGTGTGAATTTTTTTAGATGAAATGGACATAAAATGGTTATTATGATTCATGAATCTTGAAAGTACATGTTCTCTGGTTTAAATACCAGCCAAAACTTAATTTCTTTCTCATTATTATTGTGGATCAAAAGTAACATCTCAGACAAATTCAATTAAAAGAGTAAGTTACCTCATATTCTTTTAGAATTTTTTTGGATATAAATAGATTTTATCCCCATATATATTAGAATATTTTATTATAATCAAAGCTGTTAAAAGTTTGGTTAAAGTAATTTATATAAATAATTTTATTTTAATTTTAAATAACCTTTTTCAGTTTTAAACAAATCATGTTGGATGTATAATAAAATATTTTAAATAAAAAATTATTGATAACAAATTATTTAAGAATAAAAATACATATTTTATTGTCAAAGTAAATAAAAAAATAAATGAATGAATGAAATAATGCATGAAATTGTCTTAATTTGCAATAAGTATTTAAGCTATGCTAAGAACATTAAGGGAAGTTGTTAGGAATAAAATAAATATTTTATTATAAGTATATTATATATATAAATTGTTTAAAATTAAAAAATAACATTGTTAAAAATTAAAAAAAATTATATAAATAACTTTAATCAATTTTTAAGTAACTTGGATATAAATTTCATAATAAAATATTATTTGTATTTGTAAATAACTCTTGCTACTAACTATATTTGAAGACGTCCTAACCATTCTTATAATATCAATTATTATTTTTAAAAATAGGCACCACATGTTAGAAATTGAAGTGAAGTAATAAGTAATAAATATATAATTACGAATATTTTCAATATATAAATAATTTATTACGAATTTTTTCAAGATATTCCTCCCAACTTTTTATATGTTTCATAATATTATTTTTACTTTGTTCCTTGATAATATTTATTTATGTTTGGATCATTATTATGCACTAACATCTTTACGTGCCAGCTTGTTATTAATTAAAGTATGAATAACTTTTTTTTTTTCTTGATAAAATGTTATATTTTTGTTTGATCTCTTTCATTTATTAACATTTTTAACACAATGAGTTGTGCATTAAATAATAGTATTATTTACATTATATTGATTAATTTTATCTTTTAAACAAATAGAAAAATATGAAGAGTTGTTATGGACAATGACCAATAATGAAATATAAAAATTTGTTGGAATAAAAAAAAAAATTATAGTTGTTAAGATTACATCCCTAAAATTTGGGACTAGTTGGAAAAGCCCAAATGAAGGAACCTAGACCCATGCTATGATCATTTCTCACTATTAGGCTTTTATGTTAACTTTCATGATTGTTAAATGGATTTTAGAAACTGTCATAAAAATATTTTTATAATTTTTTTATAAAAATTTGTAAGAAATAATTTTCATGAAAATTTAAATAAATTTTTATAAAAATTATAAAAAATTAACTAATTTTTTAGTACTGTTTTTTATATAAATTTAAAAATATATATATTTATTAAACGGATAAGTATTAAAAATATAATAAAATAGATAATATTTATTAAAAATATTTATGACATTAATTTTTATTTCATACATTAAATGTAGACGGTCAAAATACCAAATGTAACTCATATAATAAATTAATTATCTTTTTAATAAGAATAAATGAAGGTATTTTCAGATAAAGTTTTGAGAAAGATATCTCTTTCAATAATTATTCATGTTTAATTTTATTAAGTCTAACTAGTCGTTGTAAGGGGTCACAGTCCCTCCAAATATTTGAGTTCATTTATTTTTTTCCATAAATATTAAAATAAATAAATAACAACAAATAAAAATAAATTTATTTATTTTTATTTTATTTATTGTAAAAAATAACAACAAATAATGTAGGTTGTTCTTGTATGGTTAGACAAAAGTGACAAATCCTCCAAAAGAGAAGTTTAATTATACATTACAACACAAGTTTATATATTATTTAATTTGATCTTTTCACTATCATAAATTTGAATAATGATTGAAAAAAATCAATTACACTTGAAAGGTCTACATTGATTTATTTTTATAATGAATTATATTTTACTGATAGTTTTGCGCTTTTGTGTTAACTTTCATTATTGTAAATTTCAAAATTAAATGAATCCATCCCTGATAAATGGAATAATTAGTAATAATATTATTTCGTAAAAGTGATTGTAAAAAATATTTTTATTTTTATTTTTATTTTAAATTATTAAATTTTATCTAACATTAAAAATTTTAAGTATTAAATATTGTTTGAATATTTAAAGTTTAATTATATTTATTTTGTCAATGTTTAATTAGAATTTTATATTTTAAAATAAAAAATTTATTTAGAAAAAATTCAATAATTTTATAAAAAATAAAATAAAATACATGATATTTTAAAAGGAGTTTGTAACATGAATTATTTAGAAATAAAATTAAATATTTTATTATGTGTTCAACCATTTAATTACATAAAACTTGATCAGAATTATTTATATAAACAACTTTCTTTTAATTTTAAACAATTTTTTTTTATTTTAAATAATTTTGTCCATTTTTAAATAACAGATGCGAGACTCACACTAAAATATTAACTTTTATTTTGAAGTTATTGGCAGGAATAAAGATGTTCTTACCCTTTCGCACCAAAACATTTGAAAAAAAAATTCAAATTAGGAAAAAGTTGGTATAGTTAGGTGTAAAGATTAAATTAAAGTATATATTTTGTGATATATATATATATATATATATATATATATATATATATATATATATATATATATGTTTTATAACTAAAATTAAATTTTTTAATCATATAATCTGACTCACCAATACCCGTTAGTGAGAGTTAATAAAATTAAATATGTATAATAATTGAAACAGGTATCTTTCGCAAAAGTTTCTCCCAAAGTACCTTCGTTTATTTATTATAAAAAATATAATTCATTTATTATATGAGTTACATTTGATATTTTGACCGTCTACATTTAATGTATAAAATAAAAATTAATGTCATAAATATTTTTAATAAATATTATCTATTTTGTTTTATTTTTAATGTGTGTACATTAAATACGTGTAAACATTTTAAAATATAAAAAATAAAAAATCCATTTTTGAGTGCTTCAAATACTCATGTTGTGTTCTCAGAGAATTGTTGTCCGAAACCATGTCAAGCAGCAATATTTTCAACTTTGTGAATGAAATTGTGATTGAATGTGGAGTGTGCAATTATGTTTTCCCTAATTTTCAAGCATTCGTGACCCACATTGAAGCTCATTTGATTCAAGAGATTCTTGCCATGGAAGTTTCACCAATCGATGGAACCAAGCCATTTATCAAATTGTTGGATAAACCCATCCTCAGCAATGTCTTTTTTGATGACCATGATGATTTGGATCTTTCATTAAAACTCTAGAAATTCAAAGGTAATAACTTTGTTGGTTTCATCCAAACTTCTATGTCATGTTTTACCTTCAAATAATTATGTCTCTTTTTTTCTCATTCATTGCTTGTATTGAAGTTCTCTTTGCTCAAAGATGTGAATCAAATAGTGAATGAGAAAAAACAAAAAGTTATATTAAATAAAAGTATTAGTTTGTATATTTTGTTCTTTCATTCCTAATTTTATCTGTCATTTGCACTTTTTCTTCTCCAAAACTTCACTGTAAGAATTTGTTTATTTTTCTTCTATTAATTTTGTGATTATGATAAGAATATGAGTTTATAGAGTTTAATTAAGATTAAGATATAATTAATCAGTTCATTCAATCCCAAAAAAATGTCGAATAAATTAAATGAGTCCACTTATTTATTATGCTGTTCAAGTGAAATAAGAATCATTTTATTTAGTTAGCATTTATTAAATAAGTTAAACTGGTTTTAACATATTGAACCTACAAATTATTTATAATTATATATTAATTTCATTTTAGTTTGAGACTAATATTATTTGGCTCGTAGCTTTAAATAAGCAATTTTTTTATGCTATTTTAGGTACTTGAATTTCACAATAATGATGGTTAGGCAGTGAAAAAGTTTTTTAATATTTTATTTTTGACGGTTTAAACTTAACTCGTGACAAATTTGATTTGAATTTTTGTCTTGATGCTTTTCTATTGATTTTATTTATGTTAATATTTAACATTTTCATAAACCCTTAAAAAAAATCAAGAGGTGAATATAATCGTTGGACCTATAAAAAAGACTTATGAGTTAAATTAGAAAAGTAGATGAAATAAGAAAGAAGTATGGTTAAAGATAAATAAGATAGAGAAAAAAGATTAAGTTAAGCGGAATTAGTGTAAAATTTAACCCTATTTGTTTTTTACATTATTTTTATTTTAATTACACTGTATTATTGTTTCATTCTTGTTTATTTCTCTTCTTTATTCGACAATCAACGTATTAATTTAATTAACTTTTTATCTTGATTAATATTAAATTGTGATAATAATAATAAAGGTAAATATGAAATATTTGAGGATTTTTTTATATCAATATACTTTTCTTTTTCACCATTATAATCACTCCTGAACTTGGTGATTAAACTCTAAAAAGGTTAACATCTTTTATTCTTATTTCTTTTTAATACCTAACAAAAATAATAAATGAGAAGGTTTTCTTATTTAAAACCTAATTATAAAATTCCTTATCTCTTTTTTAAGACCTCAGTAACCATGATTTTTACTGGACGGATGACGCTTTCACATTGCTTGGGACAAAAAGGGTTATAATTTTTCTCTTTTCCTTTATTTCTTGTTATTTTTTTCTCTATCTTGTTCTTCTCTCACTCCATCTTATGCTTCAATAAAAAAAATAGTAAAATAAAATTAGATAACATAAGTCTTTTATTATTACTGAAAAATAGAAATATTTTAAAAAATCATAAATACTATAATTTATTATATTATATTTAAAAAAATATTATAGGATAAATTTGGATGTTAAAAATTACCTTATAATTATTAAGAAAAAAATAAATATTTATTTTTAAGTATTTTTTAATAAATTATTTTTTAAAATTAATTACCCTAATTCAAAATTATTATAGCTAGATGTAATTATTAAATAAAAAAATATGTAATTTATAAATAATTATTATGATAAAATAACTTAAATTAATTATTTACATTATTATAAATAAAATTATTTATTATTAAAATAAATAAAATTGTTTATTCTTATCGTAATTTTAAATAATTAATTAATAGTTTTTAGTTTCAATATTGTTTTTAAATTATTTTTTTAACATATTTTTATTAAATTTTAATACAGTAGATTAGTAGAATAAGTGAGAAAAGAGGAAGAACAAGGGAAGTAAGATAGAAAAATAAAATAAAATATATATATATAGAGAGAGAAAATGCACGAAGAAAGAGACAAAAATAAAAGAAATATAAAGAGTAAAGAAAAATTATATATAAATAGTAAATAAGTCTACTAAGATAAATAAATTTAAGATGATAAAACGGGTCTATATCATTATGTCTTTAGCCCGCCAAAAAACAGGACGGACACAGTCGGGCCACTATAGTCATACTTGAATCGTAGATCTTGGTCCACCTCACTAAAGGATAGGTTGGCGAATTGACTTGCCATAATTAAAGAAAAATTATTTAAATCAAATTTTTTAATAAATTTATTAATAAGATTATCATTTGTTTATCAATAATTTAACATAGATATTTCATGTTAATAATATAAATCAATTTCACAATAAAAAAATTATTTTTTATTAATTAGGTAAACTACATGTTGATCCACCCCGATCCCGCAAGTTGATTTAATAGATTGACGGGACGGGTAAGAACAGAGCTAATGGATTAAAAATATCAACCCACCCCGCTATATTATAACGGGTTGATGAGGCAAACTAGTCGAACTTAATTCATTTTGTCATCTTTAAATAAATTTATATAGATTTTTTTAGTAATTTTTTTAAAATATATTATTTTTAGGATTCATTAAAGAATAAACAATTATTACAAAAATTTAATATTATAAATAATATATTTTTTAAAATGACTAAAATAAAATATTTATTAATTTATTTATCTAATTAGACCTATTTATTTTTCATGCACAAAATTCTATTATAAAAAATAAAATCTTGGATAAAGAATAATTATTTATTTATCTCTTTATTTATTTTCTTATTTTTCTCTCTTTTGATAGATTATTTACTTTATCTTTTATCTCTTATCAATTACATAAATAATATATTTAAAAAAAATTACTCAAATACAAATTATATAAGTTTATCTAAACAAAATTACTTACATAATTATACTTAATTTATTATTTATACATAAAATTGAAAAATAAGAAATAATTTTTTTTCATACATAATACAATTATCTTTATTTATTTATTTATTTTCTCTCTCTTAATTTATCTATTATTATTTTTTATTTAATTTATTTTTTCTCTCTTTGTTTTGTCGTGTTTTTCTCTCCGATCATCTTATCATGTCGTTAAAAATATTATATTAAAATTATATAAAATAAATATTTTATTATTTCTGAAAATAAAAATATTTAAATTATTCAAAAATATTATATAACAAATTTGAGATATTATAAATATTATTATTAAGAAAAAATAAATATTTATTTTAAAGAAATTTTTATAATAAAGATATTTTTAAATTACTTAATATTTAATCATTATAACTTATAATTAGGTTGAATAATTAAATAAAAAATATTTTTAATTCATAAGTAGTTTTTTAATTAGATAAATAATTTATTTATTATGATAGAATAATTTTAAATTAATTATTTTTAATATCATAAATAAAATTATTTATTGTCATAATAATAATAATAATACTATTATCATATTTTAAAATAATTAGTTGATTATTTTTTAGTTACAATCTTGATTTAAAAAAATTATTTCAACATGTTTTTATTAAATTTTAATATAATATTTTTTTTTAAAGAACAGGTAGGAGAGAAGAGATAAAAATAAGAGATGAGATAAAAAAAATTAGTAGAGAAATAGAAATAAAAAATTTATAAAAAGAAAACACTACGTTAAAACTAAATCATATAGCTTGTTATCTGTTTTCGTTATGTAAAAACACATATGAGAAAGTGTTTAATTCTGACTGAGAAAATGAAGTGGGGAAAGATAAGTGATTTAATTTTAATTGTTTTAATCTTAACTCTTTATTTAATTTTAATCTTAATCTAATGATTATATGTATATAATACCATTATCTAAAATATTATTTTTAAATAATCTTTATGTCATGCTTATAAAAAGAATATTATTTTTAGAAAATAAAATAAAACTATTTATATTACCATATATAGAAGATTCTATTTTTTTTAAGGAAAATATTGGATTAATAACGGAAATATCTCTCCAACAACTATTTTTATCAAATAAATAATAATATACAATATTATATTAATATTTTGACTTGTATAATAGATATATTGATTCTAAAAATATATTGAGTTTATAAAATAATATTACCTTTTATAAAATAAAATATAATTATATTTTATTATGTTATTAGTAAAAAAATTAGACATAATATAAAAAGTATTATAATATTATACAATTTTTTTAACTATGATAAAAAAATAAAAAACATATTATATATAATACGGTGAATTATGATATATATATATATATATATATATATATATATATATATATATATATATATATATAAGGAATGAAAAAAAAACTGAAACAAAAATAATTATTTTAAAAAATTAACAATGAAAATATATGAGAGTTGGTTTCTACCAGTATATTATAAGATAATTTATTTACTCCAATATCATATTGTTTATTTTTATTATTTATTTATAGTATCATAATTAAGATGTATAATTATTTTAAATTATTATATTATTTTAAAAATAAATAATAATAATAATAAACTAAATCTCTAACTACGAAAAATTAATAACATATGTACATTATAATTTAAGACTATTATAGATTTAGGATAATATAATAATGTATTCTTATTTTTTTAAAATATTTTTTAATTTTTAATATGTTATTTTAATAAAAAATAATATTTAATGTATATTGACACAAATAATTTTTATTTTTTGAAAAATTTATGATATTTGTTATGGGTTAATAGTTGATAAATTTTAGACCATTTTAGAGTGAATATTAATAATTTAATAATAAATTTTTATTTTGAGAATTTATATTATTTAATATATATATATATATATATATAATTTACTAATTTCAATTATCATAATTAGATTTATTTTCTGTTTTTATCTATATTTTTTAAAATTTAATGATATAAAATAATATTTTATCTATGTTAATCCTTACTAATTATAGGTAGAGTAGGATAAATTAAAAATTATTATTAAAAAAAAAATCACATATGATGATGCTTATGAATACTCTTTTTATATCGTTTTAACGACCTACGTAGAAAATATCCTCACACATTATTTTTTTTGTAATATAAATCTTAATTATAATCCATGTATTTAACGTGAACTTGTTACGTACAAAGAATTTATAATCAATGTAAAATTTTAAAAAATATATATAAAATAAAATAATTTCTTCAGTTTATTATATTATTATTTTCTAAAATAAATTATATAATTATTTTCTAAATAAATTTAAAGCAAGGTGACTAAAACCAAAAATACATTAGATTAAAATAAATAAATTAACATAATGACAACTACTATCGTAAAAATTAATTATTTTATAATAAAACTCACAATTAGAGAAGATATTTTAAAAAAAATTGAAAAGGTTAGAATGAATTACTCAAAGGAAAAAAATTAATTTTTCCGAAAATAGATATTATAACTTAAAAGAGTAAAATGATTTTTTGGAAACATAAAAGATTAAACAGGTTTATTAAAAAGATATTTACTATATAAAAACAACTTTTATACGAAAAGAAAAATAATGTATAAAGGGAAGAATAAGGAACAGACCTATCAAACCCTCCAAGAACCTTGTCTCAGGTTTCAGTTCTGCTATCATCGAAGACATCAAACATCGATGGCGGGATTCCAACAACAATACAACTTTTTCCCAACAGATTTGTTCTACCCTCGTCCACCTCCCACATTGGAAACTGTTTCTGTTTCTGCCAAACCAGCGCTGGTGGTGCTTCCCTCGCAAACCGCACAAGAAGAAACCAAGAATCAGAAACAACATCGTAAAAGCACGACCATAGTACCACCTCGGATGCATGCTCATCTTTCAAAGCCAAAAGAGCAATATCTGTTCGACAAGAAACCATCCACACACGCCATGAAGCCACTTTCTTGGGGACTTTCGTTGGGTGAAGACGAAGAGGGTGATGCATGTTGAATTGTCACGTGTCAGTTATTTATTCAAATATGTCCTTTATTTATTTATTTATTTTTCATGTTTCATACCTATATTTTGAATTAAGGACGAACAATTAACTCCTGAATTAAAAAAACTACAATTTTGTAGTTGAGATTTTTTGTTTTTTCTTTTACTTTTTGTCTTGATTTTGATTTTGTTCATGAACGTATAATTCTTAATTTCTCTTTCTCATTTAATGTTATAATGTTGCTATGTTTTCTGCCAATATTCCTTTACTCTTGAAAAGTTTTTGATGATTTTTTTACTGTGTTTGGTTTCTCATCATTTTTGTAGTTAGTTACTGATAATAGTTTATGTCTGCCACGTTAATCAAGTCTCTTTATATCTCTCGTTTCTTAAATTATTTATAAAGATAAAATTACCATGAATGAAAATTTTAAAGTGGATGATATTTTAGACAATTATAGATAATATTTTAGATATTAGAATAGCGAAATACATCGAACATCAAAGTAACGAAATATCTAGGTGTTTACGGTGGAATTTCGATCGATTTCGATTCTAAAGGTGATTTGGTCCTAATCAAAATCCTCCCACGTAAGTTCTTTTTACTTAGGCTAGCAGTCTGACTTTCAATCAAAAACGTATATGAGAATCGAAAGTCACATAATATCAAAATGCTATTTTTTAATATTTTATATTTAAAATACCGAAAGCAGTAAAAGTATCGAATCGAGAAACAGAATATTAATTTGCGAGGAACTGTAAAGTGCGAAAACCCCAAATTTGCATTAATTAGACATCGAATGAATTTTTGTTTATCTTATCGAGTCACATTTTTTTCCTTCATTTTCGATCGCTTTTCTCAATTTGCCACTAACAAAATGCTCCCTTGGAAGAATATGAATAGTTTGTTTATATTCTTTCAATATTCCCGCCTTAGTGTTTGGAGGCCCACAGTAACTTAGGGTTTAGGGTTTCGGGGTTCTAGGGTTTAAGGGGTTTTGGGTTTCTTTTTTGCTTTATGTCGTTGTCTCGTCAGTCTGCTGCCTTACGGTACAAGCCACATTAATTACCTTTCACCTCTGTCGTTTCCAGCTCCCTAAGTGATTTTCCTTTTAATCTCTTCATTGGTTTTTTACTCTGGTTTTTTACGCGAACCTTTACCCTTTGCAACTTCATCTTCTTCCTTGAGCTCGTCTTCATCCCTGCACTTTCATCTTTTGCCTTACTCTTCTTCATCCTACCAGTTACTGAGATGGCCACTTCCTCCAAATCTTCCGATTTTTCGGCTCCACCTCTTCCTTCACCGACGGCTCCTCTTCCGGAGATTAATAACCGAAGTTTGCTCCAATTCCTTTGATGGAGGAGGCTTCTCGGAAAATTGCCGAGACCCGGTACTTATTCCTTACAATATCGAGGGTATTAATTTTGCTTTTGGGGGTCCTCTTCATCCTATCGATGGAATTTTTTCTCCCCTCAACCTCCCGACTAGTCCGGCTCTTGTACATCAACCTAAAGTTAGGGTTGATTTTTTGAATCTTACCTCTAAGGTGTATAGGACAGGCCCTCCTTCCAAAAAATCTTCATATATTAGGTGGTTTGATAGAGTTAAGGTACAATTTGGAAATCATTGGAAGGTCGTGGGGATTTTCGATTTCTTACACCTGTCTCGATGTGATTTATCTCACCTGGATATGACCATGTTTTTATCCGCTGTTCACTTGTGGAATAAGGAATTACATGCCTTAGAATTACCCTGCGGTCCCCTCTCGCCCACTCTTTTTGAAATTGCGGCTATTACTGGATTGAAGCCTACAGGGGAAAAGTATTTTAAAGGTGCATGCCCTTCGGATGACTCTCTAAGGTTAAAGATCGATTGGGAATCGAAAGCATATGGACATTTCCTTGAGAGACATTTCGTTGACGACGAATCGATGACTGTGACTGAGGAAGAACATATAGCCTTTTTGGTGTACTGGTTATGTACCTATGTTTTCTGTCCTCGATCGATCTAAATTTCCCCCCATCTATTTGACCTTGCATATCTCTTACACATAGGCCAGCCTAGGATATGTTTGGCTAAGTTTTTGCTAGCTCATGTATATACCGCTTTCGACGAGGCTGTCGAAATTTTGAGCACTCCTAAAGCGTCGGGAAACTTTTCTGGCCCCATTTGGTTTGTACAATTATGGTTAAACTCGATTTTCGAGAGCATCCTTTCCCCATCTTCCACTGTCCCCCCAAGTATAAATATAGAAGGCGCTCGATTGTCTTCTCGTCATCCTCACCATAAGCCTGATGAAGCGGCCTATTGTAGATATCTTAATTATTTGTTGACGCGGTTCACTTTCGATTCGACTTTGGCTCCCTTTACCACACATCTCGGACAACTAAGTGACCAACTTAGGGGACCAATTTGGTTTAAGTCAAAGTTCCCCGCCTCGACTCCGGGTTGCAATCGGAGTCGATCGATATATGGAGTAATTATTTGACCCATGATGTATTAATATCGGGTTTTCAGATCAAAAGACTTTAAGTTTATAACCTATTATCCTCGGCTTTTCTCGAGGCAGTTTGGTTTGAGCCAGTCTTTACCTTTCTTCCCTCTCGATACCTCCCCAAGGTCCAAGTTAACTGAATCTACGATTAGTCGGGAGCTCGTCAAGCTTTTACCAAAGACCCCGATGCATTTTTACCCCTATGCTTTCGAGTCAAATTATTTGTCTACTGTGGGTTTTTCTCAATGGTGGGCCGGTTGGTTCTCGAGTAGTCATGCTGCTTTTGATGAAGTTCGACGAAACCGATCGCTCATCCTTCTCTTGTGTTGCAGGACAAATCGAAAACGAAGAAAGGTACACACTTCCACTGTCTTCAAATATCTCGATTCGAGAACTTTTATCAAATATGTTACACCCCACTGAAATTAGAATCGACATATTATGATGCTGTTATCTCCTTATCCAATAAAACAGACGCTAATCGATCGAACCACAAAATAATCAATCCTCTAGGTAGAACCCCTTTTGAAATGTATTGTCCAAATCGCCTTCCCACTTTTCCCACAGCTCCTTTTGGACTTGCCAAACCATTAACTCATCCCAAATGGGTTCGAGAATTGAGATCCCTAAGGGAAACACTTCGCCCAAAACCCAAAAATAAAGATATTTCTGTCTCGAAATTATCTTACTTTCTTTACCTTAACTTCCCCGAAGACCTCCTGCCTCCTTGGCTAGTACATATCGATCGAGTCAAAATTTTGACTCCATCACCTTTTGGTGAGGCTTTACTATCTTTTCATATTTTTTAATTTTGTATGTTAGAAACTAATTATCTTCATTTCTCGACAGTTTCAAAATCTACTAAGGTAGTCGCTTTCGAAAAGGCGCAAGAGAAGGAAAAAGAAAAGGACTGGGAGTCCTCCGATGAATCGGATCCTTCGGCTTTAGTCCGAAAGCGCAAACAATCGGCCACCATCTCTACATCTTCGAAGAAATCGAAGGTTCTTTTCGATCTTTTACTATTTCTCATTCGTTTGTTTTTGGTTGACACACCTAGAATTCTTATACCTATTTCTTTTCGATTTTTGATCTACAGAAACGAAAGTCAAGGAGTCCTCGATCCGTCCAACCACCTCTTGATCCATTGTCGACGGACTCTAACACAATCCCTTCCACGGGCAAAACCACCCCCACTACTCATTCGAGTCATGTAAGTCGTCTTTTCTGTTAAAAAAAATTTTATATATTGATTTTGATGAAATTTATAACATGATCTTGAAATTCGACATTTCCAGGATCGTCCATCGGCGACCTTATCGACCAACGTCGATTTTGTACCTCCCTCCCCAACACCTGTTCTCGAGGTGCAACTTTTAAACATTTCTATGTATCTTTTGACTTGTACATATTTCTTTTTCTAATTCTCTGTTTCGATTTATAGCAATCTGAGGCTGTACAAAGTCCTCCCCTTGCCTCGACACCACTTGCTCTACCTCCCCCTGGTATTTTCCCTTTTTTCTTCACTATTCGATTTTTTCAGTTCGATTTGTTTTTTATAGGTTTTCACCTCACCTGATTTATTTTCTTTGCAGTAAATATCCCTATCGTCCACGTCCAGGATTCTCCATCTCCCGCCACTACGGAGCAAATGGGTTCCCACCCATTCTCGATGCCCGTGGTCGAGCCGATTTCGCCAACAAGTGCCCATGCTCGACCGAACCCACTTCCAAGCAATGTGCCGGAGTATCGAGCCGCTATCGAGGAAGATCCTTTCTCGATCCTCGATATTCCGGTATCGAGCGGCGCCACTTCCTCAAGCCACTCTCCTCAACCACCTGCTGTTTCGACTGAAGGAGCATATCAACTAAAGCATCGCTTCAGGGCTTTCTTTTACTCTTCCCCTCTGGAGGCTTTGGTAGAGTCTTTCGAAAAGAAACGACTCTTCAAAGAGATTTTGGCCTCAATTGAGACTTTCCCTGAAGGGGTTCTTCCAAGAGGTTTTGATGAAGAGGTTGCAGCGGCCACCGATCTGTTCAACCAGGCCTACGCTGCAAGGAAGAAGAAGCAGTCGATAACGACTAAGTTATCTGACGTCTCTTCTTTCCAGATCGAGAAGTCGAATTTATTGAAGACTCAAAAGCTCGATCGAGAGGAGACACTGAAAGAGATGACTTCAGTCGAGACTGAAATCAGGGAATTGAAGAAGAGGCTACTACAGCTGGAATCGTAGAAGGAGTTCCTAGCGTCAAAATTGGACAGGATCAACTCTTCTGCGAAAGAGGTGGCATTATCTTTGGGTCAAAGCATAGAGCAAAAACATAAACTGGCCACTGAAGAGGCTTCGATTGTATCGACTTGGACACAACTGTTAATAACCTTTGAGAATTTGAAAACTCAATATTTGTAAACATTACTCTGATTTAATCAATATTGAATGTTTGTTTCT